ATATATATATATATATATATATATCTTTTTTTTAAAATATGAGAGATGTTTATTTTGTATATTTTTTTTATTAAAAAAACATCATAAGGATTTAGGTTAGCAAATGGCTAATCAATAAACCCTCCCACTAACATGAAAGATAGAATTGCTATTCAATCAAATGTTATTGATCTTTATTTGTTGATAATAAAATATTTACATGATATTAAAGGGTAGAAATGCTACTCAATTAATATCATTAATCATAAAAATAATGTATAAGTAAAGCAAAATTATGTTTATATTTTTAATTTTTATCTAAAGAAATAGATTTTGCATAAGGATTCAAGTTAGCAAATGGCTAATCAATAAATCCCTCCAATAACGTTAAAAATAGAAGTTCTACTTAATTAACGTTATTGTTTGCAACATATCTTTATTTTTTTAAAAGAACAAATTTGTTAAGGAGAGTTTAAGCTAGCAAATGACTAGTCATTAAACTCCTAGGACCTAATAATGTTAAAGATAAAAATGTTATTCACTTAACATTATTATTGGTCGTATATTAAATATTTTTATAAATAATCTTAAAGGCAACAAATCATATTCACTATATACAAATAATAAACAAAAATAAATAAATAAACAAACAAACAAAAACAAAAAATAAAAAATAAAAAATAATATTAATAATAAAAAAAAAGAAAAAATAAATAAAGAGAAGAAACGATACCAAATGAGTTGAATCTTCGAATATGATGATCAAGAAGGTACTTTTTGGCTACCTATCACACTACAGAGGTGTCTCACAGATCTCAAGAAATACAGAAGAGAGAGGGAAGAGAGAGAAAAAAATTCGAGCTCTGAAGAGTACTGGACGAAAATTTTTTTCGGTCTGAAAACTGTGCCCAACGCACCTATTTATAGACTTCAGACCTGACCAGAACGGCCCGTTCCAAAATCGAAACGGCCCGTTCTGGATCATACAGTTACAAGAAAAATGTGACTCTGGAACGGCCCGTTCTAAATTCAGAACGGCCCGTTCTAAACGCGCAACGGCCCGTTCTGAAATTCGGAATGGCCCGGTCCAGATAAGGCAATTTAGGCCTTTTAACTGAATTGAAACGGCCCATTCTCAATTAGGGTTGTTGACCTTTTTTGTAACTAGGAACGGCCCGTTCTGGGCTACCTAACATTTTTTTTTTTTGCTTCAAAATTTCTTGTTGTCACGTCCATACTTTGAAAGCTCCTCCTCTTCATAGTAAATGTCCATTTCATTAATTTTGTGAGTCCGGACAAAATTGATTATTCACAATGATCAATATTCATTCATACTTTGTAAACTCTTTGTGTATCTTTGTACTTAAAAGTTGTATTACCTCTTGTCAGTAAGAGAAAACATTTTTGTTATCTTTACCCAACTTAAATTGAGGGTTTTAACTTAAAGCTTGGAGAGACTTTGTTGTTCAAAGATTACTTGGATAATTTTATTAAAAAGGAAAATCAAAGAATACTTAGGTTGTGTCAGAAGTGGCTGGTGAAGAAATACTTATATCATTGTAAAAGATAGTGAAATTTGATCAAGTTGATCAAGAATTAGACATAGTCTCAGTGGTTGAAGCAAACCAGTATAAAAATATGTGTTTTGATTACTTCATCTACACTATTTTTGGACTCATTTAACTACTTTTTTGTTTTGAAAAAATATTAAGCTTTTGATAGACACTATTAAACCCCTTTCTAATGTCTTTCTTCACTTCATAGTGTGGTATCAAAGCTTAGCCTTTGATGGGGTTGAACATTTAACTGTGCTAAAGAAAAAGATCCTAATGAGAAGCAATGAAGGATAATACTTGGTTGAAAGAGCTTCTCTTATAAGGGTTTATGCACTCAATGAAGAAGACTACTCATATTGGAAGGATAAGATTGAGATGTTCATTATGTCCACCCAATACCACTTATAGAAAATCATCATAGGCAGTGGTATTCTGGTAACTAAACTAGAAAGTGAGTACACACAAGAAGACTATAATAGTCAACATCTCAACACAAAAGAAAGATACATCTTAGCTTGCTCTTTGTCAAGAATAGAATACAATAAGTTTTGCGAATGCAAAATTGCAAAAGAGATGTGGTAAGCCATTAGGATAATTCATGAAGTAATTGAAGATGTAAGGCTTAGCAGAGCTATAACTCTTTAGAGACATTATAAGTTATTCTCTATAAAGGAGAATGAAATCATTGATGAGATGTTTGAAAATTTCCAAATTATTCTCAATAAACTAAAATACCTGGGAACTGAGTTCTAAAAACAAAAAAAATGGGTCTTGGTACATTAAGTAAATTGTTGGGACTAACACTAACATATATACCTATGTATATACTCATATCTCTCTGCCTATGGTTGTCATATTTATTATGGACATATGAACTTGAAGCAGCTACCAAGGTGGCTGTCATATTTTTTCTTGATTATGCTGACTTCATTTATTCTTTGGCTATTCAGAAGAATGATTATTACTAATAGTAGGTTTACCAGAAAATTTGGTCATAGTTTATTTGTTTTTTCATTCAGGAATGGAATTGTATGAACTAGTGTGATAAGAATTAAAGGAATATCATAGAGAAATTTGCATTACAAATTTAATCATAATTGAAGACTACATCAAAATTAAACCTTTATGTACATTATCAAAATTGTTTCCAACATTGTAATTTGTATCAGCAAGTTATCTTAGGGTAATATACTAATATGCCCTTCTGGATTTAGTGTTCCTTCAGCATTTCATTAAACAAGAAATTCATTAAGTCAATGTTATGATTGTTATCTAAGCTTGATATCTCTGAAGCTGCTCCAAACGTACAGGGATGGTGCAGTCAAATTGAGTGCTCTGTGGATTCTCTGCATAGGCAACATAGTAAGCTGAAACACATGCTTGTGGCCATGACATTGCCAACCGAAACTGCATAGGAGAGGACATGTAAAAAATGAGATGTAAGATTATGATCATACTAATCAATATTTTAGAAAACAAGTTAAAGAATATTTAATAAAAAATTTGAATTACATGAAAAAGTAAGTGCTAATTGATTTTCATCTTTCTGGTATAATAAATATTTTCTTTATCAAACTAGTTATTTGGTTATCATTTGTCTAAATATATGAGAAAAAATGAGTGAGAGAGAAAATATTCTAGTGATCAAATGCACCATTGTCATTTCTTACCATGAAGTAACCAATTAAGAAAGCATAAATGGATATTTCTGTAGCATAGCTCTTGTGTATTACTATGCTCCAAATTCCACTCACTAGGCTACACATTGCACCCCCTGCCATTCCACTAAGGAAACAAAATGAGCCAGTGAGATCCAAGTCTATGAGTTGTTCCAAACCAGCCCTATTGAAAATGTCCCAAGTGTCAGAGGATGCCTGCACGAACCCCTTTGTATAAACTCCAACATGCACAAAACCCCATCTGTTTCCACGGGTTACAAGAAGTGATGCAATACCCATGTAGCAACTAACACATGAAAACATGACTTCACCATTATCTCCTCCAATCAGACTTGTTGACCTTGCAAAACCCCTGAAGAGTGAGATAAAGGGCACAAGAATGGAGCCAAGGGAAACACTTCCAGTTTGGTAGTTAACTGTGTCATGCAATGCCACTCTTGTGTCCATGATTTCTCCCCCAAATAAGTGCATATACTTCACCCTTGAAATGGTAACTTGCAACACATTCTTCAAAAATTGCATGGTCCACCCCAGGCTCAGAAGGATCACCAAGATGAGCAACGCAGTTAGCATGGTTCTGTTTTCAATTGCTCTAGCTCCTCCAATTCCACACACCAAAAAACAACAATAAAGAACACCAATGAGGGTTGAATAGAATGCCCACCTCATGCTTTTGGCAGGAGGATCAGCTATTGAAACTGACAAGATTCTCTTTGCATAATCAAATCTAGGACTGACCCAACAACCATAAAGAGATTGAATTAATGCAGAAACCAAAGCAACAATACCAACAGCAAGACTTGGTGCAGATCCAATGTATACAAACATAACCCCCATTGCACATGAAAGAAAGGGACTCAGACAAAATGCTGCTCTAATAGCCTTTGTTGGAGTCCTAGCTGTAATCCATTGCCATGTGAAACCAACAATTCCACCACATAATGTTGCTATTAGGAGTGGAGGGTACCACTGCTTTGGGTGGAAATGGTGGTTGTGAAAGGCATAGACAAGGCCATAGATGGTGAGGGAAATCACCAATGCTGCAATTAGGAGCAGGTTAAGGTAGAAAAGAATCTTGAAGACCTTCCCCGCCAGTGTTGCGTTTGGAAAGCTTGAACTTGAATCTTGTGCCTGTACAAGTAAAAAAAAACGCCAAGTTGAGATGGAAAATTTTCAATCAACGAAGGTGCATAACAAATGCAATGGTTATACTTCTAGCTTACATATGAAAAAAAAAAATCTATGGAGTTGAATAAAAGCAAATGTCTGGTCTTATTTCTAGACACATTAAATGGCAAGAAAGGACAAGAAATGTTGTATAGAAAAAGAACCTTGATGGAGAAGGAAAAAACGGCAAAAGGGTAGCTAGGAGAGAGACCCAAAAACTCGGTTGAACAAGAAGAAATAAAAAACAGATATGAATATGATAAAGAAAAAAGAATTAAAGAGAGAAACAAAACCTTGATGGGGTTTGTGGATGAAATCCACTCTTGTTGAACTTGTATTTTCTCTTCATCTGTGACTGTGATCACGTTGAAGTTGTTCAAATTTGTCATAGTGTGACAATTTTATTATTAAATGCACTTAGAACTTGGAAGTGCGCATACAGGATTACAGGGTATTATTGGTTTTTGATTCAATGTTTTTGGCCTTCTCTGCAGTGAAGGAAATTTCTTTGGAAACTAAACGATGTAAAAGTACAACAAAGTCTTGTAATCTTCTTGCTTCAATATGTAGAACTTGTGCATATTGAAGCAAAAGATCAAGTCCACCTGACACAGTGAAGTGATTTCCCGGGGAAAGCGACGAGGCTTTAAAAGTTCTAAGGAAAAGGTGAGATAAAGCATACGGCTCTATTAGTTAGTTCTTATCCACTGTTGATTAGTTTGAGACGTGTGAAGATATTCAAAACTTTTGTATGTAAAATTTGACTGATTTATTCCTTTTATTAAGAGAGATAATAAGTGCATAGAAAAATTGAAAAAATCTGAATTTATTATTTTCTTATTATATTTACAAATAAATAATGTTTCAACGATATCCATTTAATTATATCTGACAGTTTATTCCTGGTATAAAAAATATCACTTTTTCTTTATTTTAGATGCTGCTCAATTAATTAGAAAATTTTCTAAACCTTGGCTTAATAGTCACTCCATCATTACAGAGAATGTGTTGTTATTTCATTTACCGGTTGTTACAATCAAATCATTTTACATCGGTTATAATGATTTTCGCATTCGGATGTGAAATTAATATTGTTTCAGCTGATATATAAATCGTATATTTTCACATGAATCAATGTAAAAAATAATTATAATCAAACCTAGTTTTTTAATTAATTAAATTATATAATATTTAATATAGTTGATGTCAAATTAAAAAAGTTTAATTATTATTTTATTCTTTATAATTTCATACTTTTCTTTTTAGTTTCTATAATTAAAAACATTTATTTATTCTCTATACATTTTAATACCTTCTACCCTCTAAATGTTTATGAAGTATTAAGACCCATCCTTAATAAAAGATAAAATAAAAAAATTTCAATTAAATGTGTAAAAGGGTTCTTATGAAGTAGAAAATGACTTTTTACAACGATTGAAATAGTACCCGGTGGAAAGTAGTCCTTTACATTGATTAAACTACAACATATTTAATATACTTGATATTAAATTAAAAAATCTAATAACTATTTTGGTCTATATAATTTCATGGTTTTTATTTTTGTCTTTATAATTAAAAATTTTTTATTTTAATCCGTGATAACCTTCTACTTGAAAACAATTATTAAGCATTATTTTACAAAGATTTGTCCTTAATAAAAGATAAAATAAAATTCTCAATTAAATGTGTAGTAGGGTTCATATGTCTCATTTACTAAATAAAAACTCTTAAATATAAAAGGAAAACGAAACAAGATATAAGTTTGTAGATGGATGCACAAATTGACCTTTACAAATTTTCAACAAAAGTAAAACATAATAAAACAAACTCTAAGTTTAAAACAAATATCCTCAAAATAATACTCTAGGACTAATGGTTCTCAAAAAAGATATATAAAATTAACATTAATATCCTCTAGCCTCTGAGTCACACTAATAAGAGCAAGACTCATAAAAAGATAAAATCATCTCATAATACGTCAAATGTCTCAAACGTTGCACGCAAGGATCTCAAGTCAAACATTAACATTTTATATCACACAGCGCATAACCAACTCATATCACATCACATATAATCATCTCATATTACATATATATAAAGTTTGCATGTCATGCCTAAACATCTCATATCATGCGCATCATACAAAAGCATCTCATATCTCATATGGATATAGTCTCAAGCACAAGGTCTTATAAGCATAATTTCACATCTTTATTATAACCCACTCATAACTTATTCACAAATATCCCCTCTCATACATTCTCTTTCTTAACTATTAATATAATTATTTCAAATAATTCCAAGATTAAACACTAAAAGATAAAATAACTCACAATTACAATTCACAATCTATCTCTTTTTTTTATTATTATGCTTTTATGACATTGTGTGGTCTAAATGTGATATTTAGAGTTATTTATGATATCTAGTTGATCTTAATTTTATTGGAAAGGTAAGATTAATATCCCAATTTTCCATAAATAAATTAAATAAAATAAGTTGTTTTAATAAAAAAATATACGCGCTTAATTAATTTAATTAATTGAGTTTATAACATAAAGAAATGTTTTATTTAAATAAAGTAAAATAAAAATATAGAGGGGTTATAAGCGGAGAGTATTGGGTTGGACTCTGAACCCAACTTGAAAACATATTAAAAACAAAAACAAAGGATTAAGTTTTTCTTACCCATCATTTGAAACTCTTAGAGCACCTGCAATGGAGAACCTAGAGGAGGCCACTAGAGAGACTATGGAGTACGTAGTGACTAAGGCTACGAAGAACGTGCTTATGTTGCGAAATCGTCAGTAGAGGTAAGATGGGAGTGAGAAGTCAAATTCGTGGGCATGTGTGAGGAGTAGGGGTGGTGAGGTGGTCCCTAAGCCTCTTAAGTTTTTGATTGAAATTTTATAGATGTTTATGAATGAATTATTATGTTGAACTATGATTTTTCCTTGTGATTTCATGCATAAAACCTTGGTGAATTGATGGTGATGAATTGAAGTGTTTTTGGAGGGATTAGGGTTATATGTATGAAATTGGGGGCTTTGACTTGATTGGATTAATCTAAGTAAATTGATGATCATATGTTGTTCTACATGTATCTCGCGATTTTGCAAAATGCAAATGACTCTATGGTATTGTAGAATGTTCCTTCTTGACACCAAGTGCAATGAACCCAGTTTCCTGCAGTAGGCTCAAAGAGAGCCTCATCATCCACAAGGATGTAGAGCGGTCCCTAACTTCTTTGTGTTAGGCAAGGGGTATCTCACCCGAATTCATTTTGACATCATTTTTTAGAGAAGGTAATGTCAGGTGTGAGACTTGAATCACGTTGGGTGGGTTAGCTCTAGAGGGGTCTCTAACTCCTCAAAGTTAGGCGTGGGGACATCCATGCCAGGCATAATTTAGGTTCTTGACCTCTTTACACTAAGCGCGGGCACTACCACATTGAATGTGAATCTAGTAGAGAGATCCTTAATCTCTTCGCGTTGGACACGAGTTTGATCTCGTTGGGCACCACACAATTTTAAGAATTAATTATATTTCTAAATAATTTGGTAATGGGGGATCCTATAGAAGTGATTAAAGTTAGAGATAAAAAAGAAGAGAATAAAGAGTTAGTAAGCATGATAAAATTTATACATGGGTTAGAACTATAAGTGCATGAGACTAAATGTATACCTTGAATTAATTAATAGTAGAGATGTTGTGATAGTGATGTAGAAATGATGAATGTTGTAATGTGTGACGAATGATGGTGTTGATGTATGAGGATAATATCATGATGATGTATGATGATGAGATATGGTGATAAGATGTGATGTTGTTGAGCATGTAATAAGTTCAGGCTGCAATAGGCAATGTTGTTATGTTTTCTGTGGAGCCCATGCATTCATGCTTTGCTAGTAAGGTAGTGTAAGTCTATGTAGGTTACCTTAAAGGTCATCTACCTAGATCTTGGAAGTGTTATTGTAGGAAGTCTCTAAGTGTGTGAAAGACAATCATGTACGATTATAACCCTTTGACTAAATCTTGATAAACATCCCATACACTACAAAAAATATGCAATTTAGCGACCACCAAAATCGGTCGTTATTTACCTTAGCGACCGAATTAGCGACCGAATTTAATCAGTCGCTAAAACCCTGGTCGCTAAGCTATTTAGCGACTGAAAAATTTTTGGTCGCTAATTCGGTTGCTAAATGGTTGAAATGATTTTCTTTCTTTCTACAACTCCATTTTTGCTGTGGAGTTCTAGGGGTTGAAAAGTTGTGTTTGATTCCATTTTCTTCACAAAAATCTTGAAATTGTTCGTTTTCAAATTCTCCCCCATGATCACTTCTTATAGACAATTGATATTCCTTTTTCATTTTGAATCCTTTTATAGAATACATGGAATACCTTGAAGGACTCATCCTTGTGGGTTATAAACAACACCCATGTCCATCTAGTATAGTCATCAACAATGACTAATCCATATCTTTTACCACTAACAATTGCAGTCCTAGTGGGACCGAATAGATCCATGTGGAGAAGTTCAAGAGGTCTTGAGGTGGAAACATGATTTTTACTTTCGAATGAACTTTTAACTTGCTTCCCCTTTTGACAATGCATCACATAAACTATTCGACTAGTACACAAGACTCGGTATACCTCTTACAAGGTTATGCTTTTTCAGCTTTGAGATTAATCTCAGGCTTGCATGATCAAGTTTCTTGTGCCACAACCACTGGTTTTCATAGGATACTAGACAATCAACATTTTAATTTTCTAGTTCATTAAGCATTATTTTGTACAAGTTATTGCATCTGTTAACTGTAAATAATATAGATGAATCAGTTTGACTAATAGTACATTTATTTTTTTGAAGGAAACTTCGTAACCACTATCACATAATTGACTTATGCTCAGCAGGTTATGAGTTAATCTTTTAACATACAAGACGTTATCAATGGTGATGGAGGAATTTATACCTATTTTACCTATCCCAATGATTTGTCCTTTCTATCCTCCACTGAATGTGACTAGTCATCCTTTCTTGGACTTGAGGTCTAGGAATATAGACCTTTTGCCCGTCATGTGTTGCGACCAGCCACTGTCCAGGTACCATGACTGGACACTTCCTCTTCTTGTTGAACAGATCTGCAACAGATATTATTTCAGTCTTTGGTACCCAAATGGATTTGGGTCCATAAATGTTAGCGTTTGAGGTTTTAGAATACCCCTTCTTGTGCATGTGACTGCATTTAGGCATGAAATTCCCATGCTTCCCATAAGTAGGATATGCAGATGTACTTGATTTTTTTTTTATTCAAAATCAACATATCCCAGTCTAGACTTATCATTTTTACTCCTAGACGGGGAGTAATCAACACAATTGCGGGTGGCTTTGCAGGGGGAGGCGCCAGCAGCTCGGCTCGAAGAAGACACCTGCGAAGCATCAATTGCGTCCACTCTACCACCTCGGCCTCGCATCAAAGCTCACCGCCGATCTCTTTTTCTGACGAGGACTACGCTGGCGTCAGCCCTAACCAAGATGACCCCATGGTCATCGTCGTAGAAATAGC